GTGTCACTTAAGTACCAGAGGAGCAATTATACTAACATAGAAAAAGCGATGCTCTGGAGAACAGTTTTTTTTTTATAAAATTGAGGCAAGTATCATGACGAGCGCAGAAGGAAAACTCGTCGGATATCCGTTGAACCATCAACTATCCCCCGATCCACCAATGTCCATAGGTCAAATTTCCCGCGTGATGGCGTTGAAGGATCTGTTAGAGGAACAAACTCGTGGACTGTGCTGGGTGATTGATCCTTCTGGCCTAAAACAAGAAGCGAGTAGTGCAAACAACGGTAAATCTGAGTGAATAGATCACTTAGCGGTTGAAACGGCCCGATGCAACTTAACGGGTAACGACCGCCGACTCTGGCTTTGGACTTTCATTTTGTCGGGCAATTAGTTTTCATGGTTGGATGAGTCTATGGATACAATGCACATTAATGGAAAACAGTTTAAACACACTGAACGTTTTGAATTAGTTAACCCTATTTCAGGGAAGACCTGTAATTAGTTGTGATTCAATAGCAGAAATAGTTATAGAGCAATATGCCGAAAGGGAAAAACTCTTAACGCAGGTAAAAGGGTATGGTTGAGATTTCTCGTGACAATTTTTTTTACTTTAGTTGCCCAAATTGTGAAGAAACTCGCGGCGTTTGGCAGGATTTGAACCCGCAGAACAAGGGAGGCCTTTACGCAGCCAACGCTCTACCAATTGAGCTACAAACGCCATGCCTTGCGCCGTGAATTTAGTCACACGTTGATCAATTTTACCCGCCTAACTTTATCGCTCCTCAATAATTATTTTTACACTTATTGATCACTGTTACAGCGATTTCTCGCACTTTGTGAATTTGCCGCTTTTTAAAGGGTGGAATTTCCGAACAATCTTAGATTAGTTTCCATATGTCTTCTTAGTTGTAAATTCGGTAAGGATTCTTCTTTCGTATTTCGCAAGATTTGCACGCCCATTGGTGCAGGTTTACGAGTGATTATCAAACCTTCGTGAATTTTGTCATTTTGTATGCTTGAGTTCGTCATCTGCAGAAAGGTTGTAGGAGTCTAAGCCCTGAGTGTGCTCAAAACACTAGCTCCGTACAGGAGGACGAGGGGTAAGACCAGTAGTTGTTTATTCTGTACAGGGACTCAGTTGTGTTCTGAATCCCGACGCGCAGCAGACCCCAGGCCCTGCGAGGTGTGGGCGAGAATGAATGCGTAAACGTCATGCGAAAGTGAGTCACTGACCGCTGATCAACTGCTTGGCCAACAACAGTCTATGGTACCTGTGATTGGATGTCCCAGAAGGAGGTAGAGGAGCCAAGTCACGAGACGGTTTGCAAGCTTGGCGCCCTGGCGATAAGGAAACCGATAGGATTGAAACACATCGACAGATCTGGCCTTCTTGATGAAAGTCGGTGCAGCAAGCACAGTCAGCTCGAAGAAATACCTCCTCTAATTGCGAGGGTATACTACCCGGGGCCCATATGTAAAGCTAGGGCGGAAACCAGCTTTCAGCTGACCATCTCCACATCATTTATATTGCAGGAGATTCTCAGTACTCAAGAGAACCTAACTAAGGCGTACGTTTGTATTGCGCCGGCTATGATCACCAAAACTAACCTACTGTTATCGTTTGGTAACCGTCCAAGCCATGGCGGTTACCGCACTGTGACAGTTTCAAGCACGTCAGACTGTTTATAGGAAGGTAGATGGATTGAACCACTGCCGCCTGGACCGGTCATTTGGCTGGTGTGAAAATGGCCGCAGCGGCTGAACCTGTCTGCGCAAGCCACATTTACGGCCTGCCGTTCCACCCCCCGCATACACAAACATCAGGAATGCACTCAAAAGAAGGTGAAATGCTATGGATACAAACTTAGGAACCGACGTATAATAAGGCACGCGCGTATGTAATTTTGAGGTGGAGGCTTTCTGTAAAGTGCGCTCATAAGGCTAAACAAATGCGCATCATGGTCGACCTGGTCCCTGTGGTTGTTAATACAAATGTGCATGAACTGGATAAATTTTTGAAATTGTCTAACAGGGAGGCGTGTCAGTACCTGTTATCTGGTCACGTTCAAGTGTGCACAACGGACCAGAAGAGAGGGAATGTCATGTCAGTCCCACTGGCGAATGCTTGACTAGTGTAGTAACATAGTTGTCGTCGTCGGTGCCGACTAGACTGTCAATCAGTGAAACAGACTCAACGTCGTCAACAAGGCTGTTCACGCATTTGTACTGACAGCAAGTGCCAATGACCTAAATAAGCACGTTTCCAAAGTAGGGAATACAATACACAACAAGGGAAAATGCATCCCTACTAGCAATGGCAGTGCGATTCGACCTCTAATTTGCTCGCTCAATTCGAGCTCGCAAATGATTGCTTGTTGGATCCTCTGCGCTAGTGTAATTAAGGGCGCTAACCAATGAGCGTACAGCTGGCCAGCTGCGAGCAGATTATCGATTTCTCTGCCCGCTCAGCGGTCGAGCGAAGTCGCTAACTCACACGTGACGTGGCACTTCTGCCTCAGTCACGCCGCCGGGCACAAACGAACAAATCCTGTCCCCGCCAGCTGAGAGATCCTGTAAATAAGACGGTCCCTCCGCCAGAGCAGCAAAATCAACTAGTGGCCGGAGACAAGACTGGAGACCTACCGAAAGAAAAGAGTCTGTCCTGACAAACGACGAGAGCAGCAGAAGGCCTAGCCGTGTCCCAGTTATCGAGGTGCGTCCACTGTCCCAACGGTCGCTGGTTATCGGGCAGGGTGAAGATCTCGACTGTTTTCGAATACCCCTGCTTATTGCTGCCTCCAGCAAAGAAAATTCTGTCCCTGAATGCAAACACCGCGTGGTCTTCACGTGAGCCTTACATGCCAGCAGCAGCATCCTACCTGGCACCTGGCTGGTG